GTCCCGGCGAAGGCATTGCTCCTATTTCACATGTCCTGCTTCGAAATAACCTAATGTTTCTATAGTGGCACCCAAACCAAAAAAGGTGGTGGATGATGATTCTCCGCCGCAAGGATTTGGCGATTCGGTCCCCTAATCCCCAGTCGCCCTTTAAAAGGGGGAGTATATACGGTATTTTCTCCCGCCCTTTTAGCATGCCTTCGTGGTCTCAGTACGCTCGGCGCGCATTCGAGAAGTCCGTGGTTCGCGTCCCGGGTAAGGCATTGCTCATTTTTCATGTCTCTTGCTGTTAAAAAAAATGTAATGTCTCTACAAACCTTCCATTCATCAGAATAGTAATAAAGTCATGAAGCATAGGGGGTAGGGGGGAAAAAGGAATTTTAAAGAAAAGATTATTTTTACAAAATGACTCAAAATTTCTTGAGACAGTATAAGTAGTTATATAACTCAAATAATTAAATATTTGACCTCTTAATTTTACCAGTATTTCTGTATAGAAATAAAACATAATTAAATATCTTTAATGAGTATCATAGATAGTGGAGCACATCGAGTGAGCTTCACAATATTTTCAAAAGCAGCCACTTTGACAAATGAACAGAACTGTCGGGAATCGCTTATGAATGTCACTTACACGTTTCATAATGCCAAGAATGTTATAAAAAAATAACGGTTATGCTATATCAACAACTTACCGATCTTTCCAAAGTGCTTAAAAATAGAGCTGTTCCAAAAATTGTATTCAGTTCATTCACGGTGTTTAATCAAAAGCTCGTCGTCGATTTTTGAACTACTTATCGATAAGCTATTGAATTCAAATTTTGTACACACACCGTTTACGGATGATAATAATTCGATTTAGAGTTTTTAAAATTTAATGTCGAAGAAATTTTTTGCGCATATTTCCATTTAAGAATAAACTAAAAATCTCAAAATTTTTAAGTTTGCATCATTTTACAGAGCGTAAAATAGCTTTTGAAATAAAATTTGCATGAAATTCGTAACCTAATTTCTGATTTTGGGGCGAATTTTGTTTTAAATTTATATATTTTTCGATTATTTGAGGTAAAAGGATACTTGGAAGTAAAAGACTGAACCAAAAGTAATAATAATAATAATAATAATTTATCGCATAGATTAATGGTAATAAGAGATTACTTAATAGCTTCTTTGCTAAATTCCTGTACAGTTTTATAAGAAGAATCATAGGTTCTTAAATTACGAAATCAAATAATTGAATCGCATTGTCAGATGTATAATATTTATAAATTTATCAAGACAGCCTCACGTTTTTATTATTCGTGATATAAATTTGTAGAAGAATTTTTTAAAGAGAATTATTTAATCTCGTATTCCCATTAAATTACACGATACATTATTTTTAAAACAAAGGGCGTTAGCCGAGAAGGTCTATTAACTTCATTTTTTCATTTTCCGTTGAAAACTATGTCAGTTCACTTTTCAAACTGTTGCTACCACATATTACAGCCCTGTATTATATTTAAAGAAATTAAATAATGGTTTTGGTTTATTAGATTACGGCAAAGCACTCGAGGGCTATCTGCCTTGAAATTAAATAATGAATAATCTGCATAAATATATGTATGTTTCTCGCATTGTGATAAAACAACGGTACCTAGACCCATCCAATTTTGAATAACGTACATTTCCACCCGAATATGGGCATCTCGAAGCCGAGATTTGGAATTTGTTTTATTATATGTTTCATATTTCGTAAAACTTCAATGAATTTTTTATTAAGAAACTCAACGATTTTAAAGCGAGCAAAGGCAACACTGTATGAAAATAATAATATAAAAAATTATCTTCAACGGGCGAGACTGTGTATCGGAAATTCTAAAGATATGCTCATTTAAAATTTATTTTGCGGTATTGCTGTTTAACTGAAGTTTTATGGTTTAAGTGCGAAGAACATGATATATTTAAAAATAAAGGTAACCCACAAACCGTTAAAAAACGCCCTTTGGGCGTAATGTAAAATCTGAAAGATTTGCATTTTCAGATTTTTATGTTTGCATTTATTACTTTTATTTTTCTCGTTTTAATTCATTAATGCTCTTATAGGTAAACGTTCATTTTGTAAAAAATTCTATTTTTTATTCAATAACTGCTCTAAAACGGAAATTCTTAAATCCCTTTATATATGCATCCACTTTGTAACTGGTAATAAATTTGTTTCTTTAGAGTCAGTGTAAGGCCTTTATCCCAAAACATCAAGAAGATTTCTCCCCACGCTAATGACAGCCATTACCCATTGTCGTCAGGATTGCATGGACCCTTGTCCCCTTAGGCATTGGGGGTTGGAAGACATACAAAAATACGGGCTAGTCCTTTTTGGCGTGTTTTTTCGATAATACAAAAACACGGGACTGTCCGTTTTCGAGGGTACATTTAAACTAACAATAATCCGTAACGAACCGTTAAGAGACCTGCATAAAAGAACGAGAAAATCCGGGAAACCGTTAATGGGTAAGGAGATTAATGTCTTGAAAATTTTTTAATTACAAAAAAAACCAATTTAAAAGGAAAAATTTTAAATTATTTTATTATTTTGGAAATATTTATATAGAAGTTATCATCTTGTTCATTGTCACGAGCATGTAAAGTTTTTGTGTGAAAGTTCAGTATTAATGATTATCATCATATTTTAATTCTTGTATGTTGTTGCAGATAATTTAATTCATTTTAAAGAGGTAATTTTCCTGTATTAGATTGTAATTAAATATAATATATAGGAACAAGTTAGATTGTAATTAAATATAATATATAGGAACAAGCAAAATAGCTCATAACTATTTATGTCTACATTCATCAAATATTTCTGTAGTCTTCTCTTTAGACTTAAACACTTATCTATCCAGCCTGATAAATTGCTAGGTCTGAGAACTGTTGCAGTTTTATCAATTATGTTCTTTACCTATCATTCATGCTTATCATTGTTATAAACTAAATAATTTTAAAAGAATGAGCATACTTAATAATTTTAATTTTTATTTTATTTTTAACAATATATCAAACTGATATTTTTTATACATATTTATATCATTAGAGAAGATGTTTCTGATGTCGTATAGCATACAGCTCAATTACAGTTTCATAATCTTCACATGTATAAAATAATTGTTTGTATGCCACCTTAATAGTGAGTTTACTGCACTTTTATTTAATTCTTTATGTATTTATTTGCAAAATAAAATGCTAAAAGTAGTATGTATGAATTTGATAAGAGAGATTTTGGAAATTTCATGTTTATTTTGTAATTAATTATAATTCATGTTTAATTAAGCTACAGTAGCTTAATTAAACATGTAAGTAAGAGTAATAGCTTAATTAAAATGTGAGTAAGAGATCATATAAACAAACTGTAAAAATAAAAAAGTAGGTAAAGCAGATAAAAATAATTTTAAATTACAAAATCTCATCATAAAAAGTCCCTTTTTTCCTTTTATTTGTGGTGTTGAAAAGTTAACTGTGTAAACTGTCCAACATTTATTTAAAGAATAATAATAGTTTAACCCCTTGGGTACATTTGACGTCTGAGACATGTCATTCAATTTGACGTCATTCACCTGTTTTCCCTAGGAGCGTATGACGTGTCTAAAACGTTATTTGAGGTTAGGCACAATTCTGTTCATTTCATTGTAGCTTGTATCAGTCATAATAGAAGAGGCAATTACAGTATTTCGGTGAACATTATTTGTGATACACTGCCCCATTATGTCAAAAACAAGGAATATATTTTATGATAGTGATAACAAAAGTGACTTTGAGAAATCTAAAGAATTGTTTAGTGATCCTGAAATTGACAATTACAATGAAATACAAAGCGAAGGTGATGAAGACGATATTGAACTAGAAAGTGATGACAATTTTAATATAATATCAAGGTTTTGAAGACGCACAAGACGTCTATTCGAGCAGTGATAGTGAATCTTCTTCGTGAACCAGAAAATTGATGACAATTGTAATATAAAACCAAGGTTTCGAAGACGCACAAGACGTCTATCCGAGCAGTGATAGTGAATCTTCTCGTGAACCAGTATCAGAGGAATGGAATTTGGGAAGAAGAAGAAATGTAGCCGATATAAAAAGTTTTTTTTCTGAAATATCTGGAAATTAAACCTTGCCTGCGTAGACTAGGTGGTAATCTTACGCCTTTAGATGTTTTGAAAGAAGTCTTGAATGAAGATTTTTGGGACACTACAGTAGAAGAGACGAATAGATATGTCAGACAAGGGATAGAAAAAGAAGGTTGTGTAACAAAAAAAAAAAAAAAAAAAGAAAGGAAGGAAGAAAGAAAAAAAAAAAAAAAAAAAAGAAAAAGAAAAAAAGAAAAATAAGTTCTGATGAAATGAAAGCTTATATTGCATTATGCATCTTGATGTCGCAAATGAAGAAGCCAAAAATGCATATGTATTGGTCAAAAAGATATGCAATAAGTACTCCAATTTTCGCCAGCACTGTGGCACTCGATAGGTTTTTTGATATTTCAAGCTTTCTACATTTTACAGATAATGAAAAAGAAAATAAAGATGACAGAATAAGAAAGATTAGAATTATAGCGGATTACCTAAATAATAAATTTTGTTACCTTTATACTCCTGATAGTGAAGTAGCTAGTGATGAATTGCAACCAAAAATAATATCCGTTCCACATGCAAATATTTTCTCAAATAAATCCGTACTCAAGGGGTTAAGCTAAGAAAGACGCATGTGTATTATTAAACTTAAAATTATGAAAGATTGATTAAAGAACATGTATGATGAATTCTTCTGTGTGTGTGAATCCTATAAAAGTCAGTTTGGGAGAATATGCTGATTGAAAATGAATAGCATAGTATTTTAAACTGGATAATTATTAGAATTATTTTTGAATTAGAGAATCCTTTGAAAAAAAGTTATTGCTTCTGAATAATACCTGTTTTAATTTGAGAAAAAAGTATAATTTTATTGATAGTTATACTTTTTTATTGCTCTAGACTTGCACTGAACTGAATCAAGTACTTAATGCTGCAATTGACTTAGCATCTGTAGTTTTTGAAGAAAGTATGCCTGCTTCACAAGATCTTTTACATATGGTTGTATTTCTAAATGGTAAATATGCTTGCAGATCATTCAATTCTTGTTTTCAGATATCATTGAGCATAAAATATCTTTAAAGCATAATAGGAGAAAAGAAACATTTACTAAAAAAATTTAAATCTGTTTTTTTAAGTTATGTAATTTTTTATTTGGATGTATATTGATATTATTATTATTATTTATATATATATTTTTTTTATCATGACAGGTATACTCTTTGAAATTCCAATCAGCATAGAACAATTGCGAAACAGTATTGCTCATTTATGTGAAAAAATGTATCATTTGAATTATGTTGTAAATTTGAATCAATATTTGATCCACAATGTTGTGATTTACCTGCTGAAGCGTACATTAACTCGCAAAGCAATAGTAAGTGCTATTTAATTATTATAATTTCATGTATTTTAAATGGAGCTTTCTAATTCAGTCTCATGAATAAATGCTTAGTTTGTAGATAGATTTTTGTTTATGTGTAATTTAGGGTATATATTAGATTTTTACATAGCATTGCTGTAGCATATATGTATTTTGACTCCGAATCAGACTTTTTTAGAATAGTGTGGTGGACATCTCCCCCCCCCCAAAAAAAATCTTTTTTTTTTATTCTATGTCTCAGATGGTATATTTCGTCTCAAATTTTGTGGAAAACATACTAGTAGTCTAGTATTTATATTTTTTGCTGATACTGCTTTCCTTTCTTTATCCCCCTCCAATTCTGCAGTGATAATTCTGCTGTAAATTTAAAGTTTGAGTTATTAATTCTGCCTTTTTAATCACAATATTTGTATTATTTTAAAAAAAAGATTAAAAAATTGTTTAATCTGCACAGTTAAAATGTCAAGGAAATAATTAGAAAAGAAATTTCTTTAAAAATTCATTTATTTATGAATAAAGTTTGATGTTTAGAATCATCTGTTATTTACAAACATGAAGAATTTGAATTTGATATCTGATGAAAGCATATGATCAGAGTATAATCATTATTTTAAATTAGCATTAGAAACATTACTTTAAATTAGCTTTTAAAAAATGAAAGTAGCTGTAAGAATTCATAATTTGTTTTCTTTAAAATTTATGTCTCAAATTTTGCTGAATAAATTATTACATACAGTGCTTTATATTACTTAACACTAGGTTATGTGTAATAAAAGCCGTGCTGGGGACAGTGTTCATAATTAAATCAAAATTGTGATCAATACGGGAACAGTTAAAAAAAGCACACAAAAGAAAACTAACTTGCATTTCAGTAACATAAAACTGTTAACAATTTACCTGTACATTCAAGTAGTAAAATAGTAAAAAATTAATTTCTTAAAGTAAAATCACTATTCAAAACAAAAGAGTATGAATAACAGAAGAACACTGTTGATGTAAATTTCCATCATTCTGCAAAACAAAATTTCATTCTTCTCCTCCTCCCCCCATTTTTTTAATGGTAAGAGGCAAGGTGTGATTAATCAGGAGTTCACAGACCTTCAACTATTAGGATTCTCCTTAGTCTGCGGGAGTAAACTAAATATCTCATCACAGTCGTTTCTTTAAGGTATACTCTATGAGTGACCTATGTTCCTGATAAAATAATTTAAAAAAAGAAAACTCGAGAACTGTTCTCTTTTATGAAGGCAGTTAACAATTTGGAAACATTTTGCCATTGCACAGAAGTAAAAAAAAAAAAATGTTCTTGGAGAATATTTTAAGAATTGAAACAATCTGAATGTTTCCATTTGCAGTTTATTCAAAAGAGATGGAAACAGTTTTGTCTATAGATAATTTTTTACAAAATATCTATAATTGATTAAACGAAAGTTTTTAGGGAATTTATATTAAAAAAATTTAGTGGAATTTAAGATTAAATTAAGTTTTGAAATAAATTTAATTGAAGTTAAATTTATTATCAATTATTTAAACTCAATTTAAAAATAAATTGGTTTAATTTTATACCAAGTAGTAAAGCTATAAATTTAGTATTTTATGAGTAAACTGAGTTTGTTAGTAACTCTTTCAAGAGTTATCATGGGATGTTCTTGGGATAACAGTTGCAGTTTATTGAACCTCAGCCCCTTTCACTATTACTTGAAGATCATTCCCCCCCTTTTCCAAAACTCTAAAAATATATGTATAAATTCTTTTAAGTTTAGATTATTTTTTGTATTTTTAAGCTTGTTTAAACAACAAAACGCATAGGAAATATTGATAAAAAACAAAACTTAAACTTGTATTTTTATTCATAAACTATAATTAAATACTTAAGAGATAAGTAAAAAGCTGAATGTATTTCTCCTAAAGCTATAAAATTCCCACCTGGTATAGACATTACATTGAGTGTGCATGGTTTAGTCCTGTTCTCTTTTTAGAATGGAAAGGGAAAGTAAACAATTAAAAAAAAATTAATAATTTTCAGATTAAAATGTTATTTTTATACACATAGCATTAAAATCATCTGTTCCTATTGATGTGTGTAATCAGGGTTCGTACGGTCCTTAAAAGTCCTTAATTTTGGCCAAAATCGGCAGAAGGTCCTTAATTTTAATCATCTGAAATTTCTGTCTGTTTTTACGACTGCCATTTTGGGTGTAAATTAGCATTTTGCAGGAATATTTTGGGTGATTCACTGACAAATATGGCTATTTTTTGATTGGGTTCATGAGATGTAATTTGTTCCTATTTGTAATGTAAATAATGGTGGGATACTCGAGTTTCTGAGCAAGAAGTGAAACATAAGCATTTCAAAATTATTTCATTTTTTGTAATGAAGAGCTCTCAAACAGCTTTCCGCTTTTGGGGATGTGAATTCTTTTATTAAACGGTTCTAAATTTGGCGATTATCAACATTTTGGCAATCTTAAGATCGGTTCTATAGAAAATTTTTAATTCCGAGATCTGAAAATTTTTTGACGATTTTTTTAGAACATTCTAACATTGATAAATTTCATTAACCCAGCGGAAAGCGCACCAAGAAAAGTTACTAGAACGGGCGCGTGGGGTATCACATATCCCAATATTTAAAATACAATAAAATAGTATTATTTAGTTTTAAAACTTTTTGTTGTTGTTGTTGTTGTTGTTCCTGTGTATTATAAATAAGTGAATAATAATTGGGTTTCAAAAAATTAATTTCCAAAATAATCTTAGAGTTAAAATTAAGATAAATGAAAATAATAAACATCATGCCTCTAAGTTTCATTGCATCTCTAATACACCATGCTTTTTTTTTATTTCTTCACACTTTGAACGAAATACATTCATGTGTTCTTGGCACAGAATATTTTCACATTTTAAACATTGCATTCACGTTCTTCTGTCCTTGGCGCGAGGGCAAAAAATTTAACACGTCTTTCATACTTAGTTGTTTCTAATTTCATGTAATTGTTTTAATTCTTCATCGAAACTTCTGCTTTTGTTTTGCATGCAGTACGTCAATTTCTTGGAAAAGTATTAATCTCTGATCTTTGTTCAATACTTTTTTTCATTAATTGTAATTCTAAGTCCTTCAGAAACAGACTTCTGTTTCTTGTTGGTGGATTAGCAGTTGAATGTAATATAATTCAAGCATTTATTACAGCAACATTCAGTGCAGGAAAGAAAATTACCATTGGCCACCTTCTTGTTATTCTGGCAATTGAATAATTGGCTGACATTTCATCCCCCATATCCACTGCTCCTTTAGTCATATTATTAAAACATATAATTAATTCCTAACGTTTTATTTTCTCCAATAGTATCATCTATAGTATGATCGTTATATAATGTTATAATGATCGTTATATAAAGCATAAGAATAGTTTTTCCTTTTTTAGGAACATCAGGAATTAATGTTTTATCTTTTTTGAAACCAAAACATTGTAGCAAATATTCTTAGTTTCATCTACAGTTTCCGAAATGCAATCTTCATCGCTTTCAAATATTTCTAATAAATCTCGCGTGCGTTGCATCTCCAGTTCATAGGGACTCATTCTTTTTACCATAATGCAGGTAGAAATTTTTAAGAATTTAATGTCAAGTACTTTAAAATCACTTGCGAGTAGAAATATTTACTGTTACACTCTAGAAATAAATTTCTGAACTAAATATTCAGTCAGAAAAACACTTACACGGACAGGCGCATGGGGGTACCGATAAATACCGATAAATCTTTTTCTGAAACATGCAGGCAAAGAAAAAGCGGTTCTGAAAGTCAACCACAACTAGAAACTCAGCTACTGAAACAGCACAGAATTTCAGTTTCACAAGTTAGGAATATTCCACTTTTATGTAGGGTTGGGGTATGATACACCCCACGCGCCTTCCCGCGGGTTAAAATAATGGTAATATATTGGAATTATATTTAAGAAATAACATTAAAATAAGTCATTTTTATTTTTCACTGTCATATTATGAAGTTCTATTTTCACCACATATTATACAATTTTTTGAATCTGAAAAATAAGCAAGGAATAATGCTATAAAGCACAGTTTACAAAACAGTTTTTAGCAAAAGCAAAATAGCTACGTAATTAATTAAAAATGTCTTTTAAATTTTTTCATGGTAAGAATTTTTCCCATTTCTCAGAATGATCAGAATTCTTAGAAAATGCATCAGTTTTCTCTATAAAATTAACTTCACACTTTTTCCCTCCGATTTTTAAAAAAATCATTTTTGGGTTTTTGCTTTTACAGAATTGGTAGGAGTAATTTTTCTTTAGGATTTTAGACATTGAAACTTGTAAAGTTTAGAAAGATTTTAAGGCAAATTTATAGACCCACGATTCTAAAAGATTCCAGAAAAATGTGATAAAATGAAAAATATCTCCATGGTAGTAACACGCTGTTTCTTACATATTGGAGAACATCTGGAAGAACAATGAAAACATAATAGTTGAATGTTTTACTTCTGGTTCTAGAATCGCTTTATTAGCATTTTTATCTTGCCTTTATTTTCTCTACTTTTCACTAGACACAAGCATGGAAAATATCAAAAGTACTTCTAATCTTATCATATGGAAAGGCATTATAGAAAGGAAATTTTTTTTATTAACAGAAATTGAAAACTGACAATTCAAAAACGGTTCATCTAATATGTATTAATGCATCATACACAGAGCTGGCATTAGGCATTTTGCCACCTGACGCAGTCTCTGTGGATCCTAAATTATGCTGCTTGGTGCCTTTCTAAAGTCTGCTTCCAAAGCCTGCTCTAAATTTTAAAAGTTTTGCCATTTCTAGATTTTGTTGCTCAGTGTCTCCCTAAATTCTAAGAATTATGCCACACCAGCTCTGTGACCAGACTTTACCATGTGTATTTCATATTTCTTCTGAATGTTTGTATTACTAAAGAAATAAAATTAGCAGTCTTTTAGAATAACAGAAATCTTTAATTAAATCCCAAAAAT